TTTACTTGAAAGAGAAGGAGAGAATCTTATCTGGCTTGACAACATCAGAATTACGTCAATTGGCATATCAAATTGCTGAAGTCAATGGAGTAACCCATCCTTGGAAGAATGGCAAAGCTGGAGAGGATTGGATGAGAGGATTTTTGAAAAGGTGTGGAACACTATCTCTGCGCACACCTCAAGCAACATCTGTCGCACGAGCTATGTGTTTCAATGAAATTCTTGTTGGAAATTTTTTTACATTACTTCACAAAGCTCTCGAATCAAAAGAAGATACAATAAATGCACAAGTGCGGTTCCCCCCCGAACGGATCTTTAATGTGGACGAGACGGGATTCAGTATCAACCCTAAACAGCTGGGAAAAATCATTGCAGAGAAGGGCAAGAAGCAAGTGGGCAAAAGAGTTCCTAGTGATCGCGGAAAACTGGCATCGGTTGAACTGTGCATATCAGCCGATGGAAATTTTTTGCCACCTGTTTTCGTCTTTCCTCGTAAAATAATGAAGGCTTCATTATTGAATGGAGGCGTGGAGGGCTCCTGAGGAATGGCCAATCCAAGTGGTTGGTTTACAGCTGAACTATTTCTGAGATGGTTCCGGTGGTTCGTGGGAACTGTAAGACCAACACGTGAAAACCCAGTCCTTTTGCTCCTGGATGGTCATGCCAGTCACACGCAGAACGTGGAAACACTAGAATACGCTCGTAAAAAGCATGTCACCATCCTATGCTTTCCACCTCATTGCACCCATCATGTTCAACCTCTGGATGTTGCTGTAATGAAGCCCCTCTCAACGTACTATGCTGAAGAAATAAACACTTGGATGAGGCAGAATCCAGGGCGGATTTTAACGGAATATTCAATCTGCTCACTGATTGGAGCAGCTCTTCCACGTGCAGCAACTCCAACCACCATCGCCAGTGCCTTTAGAAAGACTGGGATACATCCATATAATCCAGAGATTTTTTCAGCCACTGATTTTGCCCCAGCACAGTGAACAAATCGCCCTGAACCGGAAGCACCCACTGATCTCCAAATATGCGAGGAATCGGAAAGCCCTTCTAGTGATTCAAGTGATGAGAGCCAGGAAGGATCATCTACACGGAGTCCTACTCCCTCCCTCCTCAATGGAAATATTCTCCCAAGTCTTTCGCAAACGGAGGATCATCGAGACACCACTCAGAACCACCATTCCCCAATCCCAAGGCCCTCTCGTACTCCAACGACCCCAAAACCAAAGAGGACCACCAGACGAAATAGAGAGATGAATTATGTGGTTGATGATTCTTCAGAGACAAGTGGAGATGAATTGCAAGAAATCCTCCCTGAATCGAAAGTGGGACTCACATCGATTCCTTGGAAGATCTCACGGAATCACCCATTTGAAATTCCACCAACGTCTCTCGAGCCTCTCCCGACTACTGAAGACGAACCAACTCGCAAGAGACGTGCTAAAGGACGAACCGCTCGGTTGACCAGTCGCAAATATATTGAAGATTTGAGAGCTAAGAAAGAAGAAGTCCGAAAGAAAGAGGAGAGTAAGAGGAACAAACCAAAGAAGAATTGCGCGAGCAAGACAAAACCTTCCAACGCAAAGCCTACTAGAATCCCTCGGAAGAAGCAGAAGAAGACAATTCCCGAAGCAGATGATGGTGACAGTGACGCAGCTTGCATCTACTATGATGCCTTGTACTCGGAGTCGAATGGAAGATAGATTGAATGCGAATCTTGTCATAATTGGGCTCATTTTTCTTGTGCTAATATCTCATCTGATGCGGAACAACCTGATTTTATTTGTGATAAATGCCCATAAATACGCTCAACTACAAATCGTCTCTCATGTCCATCCAAATCGAGTTTTAATCTTAGTAAATCGATCCCCAATGAAAGATAGTTATTATTATTTTCATTATTATTATTGTTTCTATCATTATCATTTTGTTATTCCCCTGATTCTCTAGAAAATTAATTAATTTCATTAATATACCCATTGTACCCCATCCCCTCAGAATATTAATGTTATTCATTTTGCTCCAGTCATCCATATTATTCCCCTCTCCCTTATTTTCCCGAAACACTTTTCAAAAATTTGAAATAAATTTTTCTTATTGGAAATATTTCCAGCATTACTGTTAGTTTACTCATATTACATTTATCAGCTATTCATTTATCTTAAAAAAATAGATTTTAACTATTTAAATTTCAGAAGAAAAACTATTTGTCCCTGACATTGTTTGGGTGATCATTTTTCCCAACTCATCCACTGATTCATTCAAGTGCCCATCTTATTCTGAAACATTCTGAGAAAATTCAAATCACTGAAAAAAAATTTTTTTTTTGAAATTTTTTGGGTGTCCATTTTACCCCACCCATATTCGAATTTATCAGGTGTCCATTTTACCCCAGGTGTCCATTTTACCCCAGGTGTCCATTTTACCCCAGGTTCCCCTAATAATAACAGAATATAATAATTTCGATAATAATTGTCGTCCAAATCGTGATGATATGCATGTGATATCTAATTTATGTATGTAGTGATGAGTTGTATTAAATTTTATAAACTTTTATTAAGTTCACAGAATACCCATCTTGTCGTTATGGAATCGTAGAAGTACACGAAACACCGATTCTACCCCTATGAAATCGTATGACTTCACGAAAAACCCATTTTACCCCTACGAAATCGAATGAGGTCAGCAAATACCCATTTTGTTCCAATGAAATGATATGAGTTCACGAAGAACCCATTTTGTCCCAATGAAATCGTAAAAGTTCAAAAAATACCTATTTTGCCGCAATGAAATCGTAAAAGTTCACAGAATACCCATTTAGTCCGTAAGAAATCGTATGAGTACAAGAAAAACCCATTTTGCCCCAATGAAATCGTATGTGGTCAGTAAATACCCATTTTACCCCCATGAAATCGTAGGATTACACGAAAAATCCATTTTGCCCCCCTGAAATTGTAGGAATACAGAAAAGACCCATTTTACCCCCATGGAATCGTATGAGGTCAGTAAATACCCATTTAGCCCCCAAGAAACCGTATGAGTTCACGAAAAACCCATTTTGCCCGAATTAAATCGTATGAGGTCAGTAAATACCCATTTGGCCCCTAAGAAACCGTATGAGTTCACGAAAAACCCATTTTGCCCGAATTAAATCGTATGAGGTCAGTAAATACCCATTTCACCCCAATGAAATCGTATGAGGTCAGAAAATACCCATTTTGCCCCAATGAAATCGTATGTGCTCAGTAAATACCCATTTTACCCCCATGAAATCGTAGGAGTACAGAAAAGACCCATTTTACCCCTAACAAATCGTATGAGATCAGAAAATACCCATTTAGCCCCTAAGAAATCGTATGAGTTCACAAAAAAACCTTTTTGCCCCCATGAAATCGTATGAGTTCACGAAATACCCATTTTACCCCAATGAAATCGTAAAAGTTCACAGAATCCCAATTTTGCCCCAATTAAATCGTGAAAGTTCACAGAATACCCATTTTGCCCCAATGAAATTGGAAAAGTTCACAGAATACCCATTTTGCCCCAACGAAATCGTATGTGGTCAGTAAATAACCATTTTACCCCCATGAAATCGTAGGAGTACACGAAAAACCCATTTTGCCCCCATGAAATCGTAGGAGTTCAGAAAAGACCCATTTTACCCCTAAGAAATCGACTGAGGTCAGAAAATATCCATTTTGCCCCTATGATATCGTATGATTCAATGTGTTTGAGATATCTCCCTAATTGGTTATCTTAAACTAAATATTATTTTGAATATATCTATACAATTCTAACTTAAAAACTCTTCTTTACCCCAAAAACCATACTCCGTGGCGTCACTCCCGGATGGCGTCCCTTTCGCATTCTCATTTGACAATTTTTCCGTTTGACAATTTTTCCTTACGTCCGCAAAATATGAGTGAATATTCCAATTGAATATTTTTGGATGCTAGTAGGATGATGCCAGAAACGCGTAGAGACTGCTAACTTACTTAAAAACATGCACAACGGAGAAAAATCACGATTTTGGGTATTGGGACACTATTAAAGCAGTCTAGTATCCGACCCGTGTTTTTTGTTCATCTAATCTTAATTAAATTTTTTTGTTGTATCTCGCCTCTCAACGATTATTTAAATGCGAAAGTTAAACGAACATGACAATCATCGGTAATTAATTAATTGATTAATCATTTGTGGACATCCGCATGAAAACGGACCACTTTGTCGATATGGAGTTATGTATACTCTGATAATATTGATAGCATTTCGCACATTTTGAGCCCAAAATGATCCCCATAGGGTCAAAAATAACATCGCTAAAGAAGATGAAAAAAACAATTTACCATTGGTGTAAATGGGAGTCAGTGAGATAAAAATGTGAATATCTCAGAAACTAGAATCGACAAACCGGGCCCTTTCATGCGGACGTTATGAAATAAATCGCAAATATTCATTTTTGTATTTTTGAAGGATCACAAAGAATATCAAATTTATTCCATGTTCTGTTTTGTGATGATTTATCTAATAAATATTTACATTTTTTCTGTCCTGTTAATTATTTAGCAATATGAACGCAATCTCGTACACGATGTCGGATACTGGGTTGTCTGACTTATTCACGTCAATATTTACAGTTGCATTACTCATACGTATTTTTGAATATTTCTTGTTTTTGAAATGTTCAGAATCACTTTTTGTCCATGACATATAATATTCTCGACTTGGATAACGAAATACACAAATTTTATCGTGGGATTCTGCTTAGACTGTCGGATACTGCTACCTCCACGGTATTCATGATTTTTTTTTCTAATTTTCCTCACGCAATTTAATTCACAAATTTGATTATTAAAAATGATTAAATATATAGTGTGGTCTGTACCAAATTGTAAAAGATAGTTGGATATCCTTAATGCGTCATGTATTTCCAATCTTATTTCTGGATTAAAACATAAAGTAGAATGAAACATGTTGAACTTTGTACTCACTGTTATGGCAACCAACAGATGACACAAATGAGGAAGAACATACTTCAACAATCTGTACCATTTAAAAGAATTAATCTTCACATCGTCATGTATCTCCGTTATCGCGTGTTCAGTCAATGCTTCGCACTTTCCTCTTCTCGAATTTAATCTTGAAATCCCTGAAGAAATGACGGCGAAGCCTCCGAGTGTGTACTTACCGAGGCTGGATAATCTGCTAGACTCTGGGGATTTTTTAACAGCATACCTCCTCGTGTTGACATTAAATTCACGTTTTATCGTGCTGACGAGTTGTCCCTTTGATTTCAGCAGGTGCTTCCATGGTATGTCTCTGGGAATAAAGAATAATCGAATATTCCATTATTGAAATGTCTTGTTTTGTTTTTAATAACCTTCAAATGAGGTTGCTCTCAAGTGTTGGGGTTTTTTGGAATAAAAATTATTTGAGGGCTATTAATTGGACTGGATGACTTACCTCTTCGTGTCTCCATTCTTTAACAGATGCCTAGAACCGATGACAATTCGTAATAGTGACATTTTTATGGATTTATGTGGGTGATGTGTGTCGGTGCCTCCTCATTGGGATAGATATGCTCTACAGTCTCACTCTAACCTAAGAAAACTGTTCTAATTTTTTCAAGGCACTGTGCATCATCATTCAATGGTGCAGGTAGGCACGGCAGTGATAAGTTCTTTAATCCTGGTGAAAATGATTTTGCGATGAAAAATAATCCTTGGATATGTATGATAATAATTTTTAACAAAATAAAAATTTTGATTGAGGTAATCCCTGGAAACCTAAAACTATCCCTTGCTCTTTCGTTTTTTCCTCACTAATTTACTATTGTATTTACTATTCATGATTGTCCTTGCTTCTGCATGGGAGCATAACAATAGTTGACGTATCAAAAAATTCAATAGAAAAACTTGGCGAATTCGTTAGAAAATTCGATTGGGATTCTATTAAAATTCTAGGGAATTCTCGTTCAAATTCCATTTGTTTTTTGCGCTCATTCTATGAGATATTTAATAGGAAAAATAGATTTCGATTTTTCTACATGAATATTCTTCTGCAATTTTTCTATAAAAATTCTTGGGCATGAATTTTCCAAGTTTTTGCACTCAGATCCTGTAATGCAGAATCCGAGTGAACAACAAAATATAGCAGAAAAAACTTCGAAAAAAACTCAAGCGAAAAATTCGAACAAGAAAATCGTAATCTATTGACTTTTTCCTATAAAATATTTAATAGAATCTGCGTAAAAAACAAATAGAATTTTAACGAAAATTCCCTAGAATTTTAATAGAATTTCCATAGAATTTCTAGAGAATTCCAATAGAATTTTCTACCGAATTGACTAAGGTTTTATATTGAATTTTTTCATATGTTTCATATTAGAAAATCTTCACGATTTCTAATTTCGCTTCGAAATGATGTAGAAATGCCTGAAAAATAAAAATACGAAGTGTGGCCAGGGATGGCCATCAATATGATATTTCTTCAATATTAAAAGGATTTGTGATGTACATTGATAAATGTGTAAATATACTCATCAGAATTTAACAGGATTATAATATTATTAGTTTAACTTTCCAATTGCTGATGAACTAATATTTGATAATATTGAACTGTAAATTTTCCATTAAGTGACTATTTATAATTTCTTAAAAGGGATTATCGATTAACCAAATAATCAGCAATCTTCCTACCTAAATTATGATGATTACTTGAATAATCAAAAATTTTTCATTTATTTTAAGATTCTACCACAAAAAGTAGACTTTTTGATGTTGATTTTTCAAACGTTTCCTAACGGTGATGCCATAATACAGACGTTCTCGATTGTCGATAACGTATTAATTTTCGATTGTTTAGGTGGTTATGCAATTATTATATCAGCATCGTTGAGAGAGTGGTGAGGGGAAGGGGAAGTTGAGGAATTCTAACAATGCGTGTTGTCAATACAACGAATATGCTGACATGGGGGGAGGCAATTGAAATTGCCGAAAAATTTGCTTACGTTAGTTGCATGACTCCATCATCGAAATAAACAATTTTTATATTCAGCAATTGGACGAGCAGAGTTTAACCGGAGACATACACAAAAGGCATGACTGGAAATCGTCCAATTTTTACATTTTCTGATTTTCTTTGGAAATGATGTAAAAAGATCTGAAACGTAAGAATTTGATTCAATTCAAACGAAGATTGAATTGAAGGGCCACAATAATTACAAGAAATTCTCATTTTTCTCAGATTAATAGGTATTAACCTCTCAACGACCGCGCCCTTTTGACAATAATCTTGTCGTGAGCTAAATAATAACGGAATTAACTTAGTTCTAATAGTCCGAAAAAGATATAAAGTGAGTAATTAAAGTCTTCACAACAGAGTTTGCACAAATTTGTAAAGTTTTATATTTTTCGAAATATTCAACTTTGAAAAGGACATGTATTCACACGTGGATGGTATAAACAACGGGCTTGAGGGGTTAATGAAGATCAATTATGTCCAATTAAATAATTGGACATGTAGTAATTATTCCCGATTTCAGCTTGATCGACCCAACTGTTTTTGAGAAGTCCCCTCTTATTTTTAAATAGCATTTCTCAAATATTTTATAAACGATCCAATCGCTTTTCAATTTTTTTCTTTCAAAATATTCGACACGGTGTCTTCAATCTCAATCAATTGACATATATATACCTGTTCGTACCTGCCCCCCCGAATTTTTCGAAAATGTTCGCCATCTCCCGTAGTTTCGGAGATATTCTTGAAAAAAAAAAATCAACTCAATTTTTTTGTTTGTGAATTCTTAATTCACAACCGTCCCCCTCCCTCTCTTTACAAATCCCCACTCCGCACATCTGCGATTCCCGATATTTGGGCAACTCTCCCTATGTATGATGCACTTACGCCCTTTAGATACCTCAGCCGCAATTTTTTACTTTAATCGGAAAATTTTCTAAAATTAAGAGTAATTCAGCATTGGTTTTAGAAAATCTTAGTTCTTAAAAACAATCCCCAAATTGGTTAATTTTTATGATCCCACCACGGATAAAGCTTAAGAACAGGAGTTTCTAAAATCTAGAAACTAGTTTCTAAAGCTAATCCACTTTTTTTCTCTGTGTGAACCAATAAAGCGATTCAACTTTTTTTCAATCGATGCGTCTTCATGTAACTTAGAACTGATTAAATCATATAAATGATCGCCTCAGCGGTTTGTTAGTTATTTGCATAAAACTTGTAAAAAAACGCCAAAAAGCGACAATTTTATTGAAATTCGATGATCACCTGAGATAACGATGGGCTATGATTTAATTCTGTATAATCTATGCATCTTTACATAATTCGATTCTAATTGAATGTTGAGCGGAATCCTCTCAGCGCGTGTTCAGTTATTTGGATGATATTGGAAAATTTGTTTTTTTTTCTCATCAGCAGAAAAAAGACGATCGGTCGGGAAGTTATTGGCTCACTTCCAATTCCACTAACCCCTACCGGTCAGACCCCAACCCGGGAGCGAGCAAAACGGGCGACCGGCACGGATTTTTTAATTCATATTGTCCTTCCTAATACCGTTACGGTTTTATAGCTTCTCCATTTTTGTCTGTCGTTTATCGTTTTCTCCCACTTTTCTCTTCATATTTATCTGCGTTACCATGGGCGGTCTTACTTTTATCCGCTGCACCCCATGCGGGCTAGTACTGCATGGGAAACCATGGAATCCCCAGTCGTACAGCCGGCCGATATTGCAGGGTTCTACTATGTCCATTCGTCACACTAACTAGATGGGCACAGTAGTTCTCTACATTCACGCCTGGTTGCCGTAACTTCACACCAGGGGGCCTATTCTCGAAATATTTCCGTGCACGGAAGTGGCTTCGTAAACGAATTGCGTATAGGAATCATATAGGCGTTCCGTCAACGGAGTCGATTCCGCGCACGGAAATATTTCGAGAATAGGCCCCCAGGAGGTAGGGCTAAGCGGACACCTATCGAAATCCAAGTACTAACCAGACTAAACGCTGCTCAACTAAAATTAGACAGATAAACAGAAATCGTGTGAAATCCCAATTATTCATCCATAAAAGGCCGTCGAATTCCAGTAACATATCCTCGATAGTGATGCCGGGAGACACTTTACGTGACAAAACTTTGGAGAGATGATTTCGGTCTCAATGAGCACGGAGATCATTGCTCTCGTCTCAGTCTCGAAATACGCAGTATCGACTCCTCTCGTGAGGACTCCGAGTCAATTTAACTCATCTCAGTCTGAAGTTCGTGTTTTTGAATGTAAAATCTCGGTTTGTCTCGTCTCGATTTTCTACACATAAAAAACGCGAAAAACTGGAAACTTGGAGTCATCACGAGAGGAGTCGATTTTGGATATTTCGAGACTGAGACGAGAGCAAAGATTTCCATGTTCATTGAGATCGAGACCATCTCTCCAAAGTTTTGTTTCGTGATGTCTCGTGAAATGTCCCGCGGCATCACTAATTCTCGAAAGCTGCAATAGAGTTCCATCCATTTCCCTAGTTCAAATTTTCCCGCTGCTTCCAAACGATAGTGGCGCCATTGATGGGATTATTTGAAATGAGTTTTCAAATCTTCATAAAATACCGACACCTCTCACACTTATATGGCTCATTAGATTCCCAAAAACTGTACAAAAATAAATAATTAAATGAGTAACTAATTTATTGTACCCAAAAATTTGTCGAATCATTCCAATTATTTATTTTGATTCCAATCGAACGGACGTAGTGGACACCGAATGAACCAAACCGAGGGGTCGTCACTGTGAGGGGATTGGGGGTTGTATTATTGATCAATAACAGACGATGGGCGAGCCGTGCCGGCGCGGTGGCAGCTGTGTTGTTTCCCCCCAACGTTTTTACACCTCAACTGTATGCGTGAGAATAAAAAAACCGTAAACTGCTCCCTCCTCCCACCCCACCCGCCACATCACAAGTGTGTGTTCCCCTTAACAGTTGAAATTATCCGGCTTCGATAGAACAGTCATCCACCCCCCCACGAGAGTCAAGACAAAAGTACCTCTGAAGAATTATTAACAGAGAAGAAATTGAAGGATTGACCAATTTCATTGAGAATTAATCTCTTCTCGTTCATGTCAAGTGATATTGTGTAATAGCGAGTGTGGGTGCAAGAATATTTGCGGATGAGGGGGAAAGAGAGGGGAAAACATTTTTGTGAGGTTTATGTGAGGGGGTCTCTGACATCATCGGAAAAATGTGAGATTTTCTAGGGTATTTGTGGTTTGTGATGGGTCGAGTATTCTTTTTCTGACATTTTTATTTTATTTTAGAAACAGCACGAAGCTGTACCTGTACCACTTTCCAATGCAGACCTTGAGGAAGAAAAATAGTCCATGCAAGTGTGAGTATTTAAGATTGAGGATTTGTTTTTTTGGGTGATATTTTTTCTTCATTTTGGGGATAATGTTGATAGAATGGATGATGTTGGAAATAGGGTCATTGGGTTCTATTTAGAAGGAAAGGTGTTCCCAAATTGAAGAGAATGCAATTTTTTTAAAGCTGATTGATATTGCATAAGCCAGCGAATATTTAAGGTGATTTAATGATAATTGTTGGTGTTAAATGGTGTTCTTGGAGGAATTATTAGTATTGGGAATGGAGGAAATAACACATGACGTATTTTCATTGATATGTAGAGTAAGGGTTGTCCAGCATGGTTCAGGGTACTACAACCCCTTTGAAGATGTCACTAGTGGGTAGTTCTTAAGAGGATTATTATCATGAAACGGTAATAATCTTTTTGTTTTCGATGGATGATCATTTTTTTTCTCATAATCGCATTTGATAATTTTTTGTCTTTCCTTCACATGGAATTTTAAGCCTTAGTGGGACATAATCCATCTAGTAGTTTTCAGAATCGAATAATTTTCAATTTCAAATATTGATTGTCGAACGATTACTCGGAAATTTTTTGGTTTTGCTTTATTCATCAGATTGATATTGATACTAACAACTAGACAACCGAATGAATGAGTGATAACAATATTTATGAGTTCTGATGATTAAAGAAAAAAAACAAAATACAAAAATTCCAAGAACCTATTCATCATTTACATGATGAACGCGAGGAGAAAAGTTGGATAAAAGTTACCTAGAAAATCGTGGAAAATTTTTCTGTACGAAAGGTAATCGTGGAGCGAAATGTCATTCGACGAAAAAATATCTGTTTGTGGAGGATATTTTAGGATTCGTTCGGCAAAAAACACATATCTATGAATGCGAAAATTATCCTCCGGTACAGTAAAACTTCCCGCACAGGTAGAGTATTTTTTTTCTTGCACCCATTTGAAGGTGATGGGAACGAATGGGACATTTTACCGAACGAATTCATTTACATTAACTGGGATTTTTCATGGAGTGCAGGGTAAATGTTACAGTTTCGGAACAAATTGCCCTCACGTTCAGTAAATTTTCCCGGGCCAACAGAGAAAAATTTCCATATTCGTCTTGCACTTTTTCCTGGATATACACTGAGAAAAATCCGTCGTCGAGTTCAAAAAGTGCGCTCGACTTTGAAAAAAAATCGAAAGCGGCGACTTTGTTTCAAAATCGCACTGTTGAATCAAGGGTGTCACCAATTGATTGCTTTCGGCGTTTGGAGTCGTATTTTATACCGTCGAAAAAGTGCGTCCTTAATTCAACGTCACTGGAATTTGGTTCAACATTGGTGGAAGTTATCCAAAAGCAGGAACTTTTGGTTTAAGGTTCCTCATGTCTTTGATTTCTATATCCATCAAAATTGAAGGCTTAGGCAGTTGATTCAATTCCTTACGTCATTAAATTGCAAGAGTCAAAGACTCGTAGGCCTTTGGATCGAAGATTCTCTCGACTTTGATTCAAGAACTTGTTTTTTAGAAATTGTTTTAAATCAAAGTCGCGCGACTTTGAATGCATGCATGGTCACAATGCCTTGAATTAAGCACTGCGCGAATTCAAGAACACTTGAATCAAGCAACCGCGATTTTTCTCAGTGTAGGGAGAGAAAGTACTGAAAATCAGGTTCGCTCCACGATTAGTTGACTTATTCGGTAATTTTACGGTATTCCATAGTGATTCATCGATAATTGTATACATGAAATAACATTCATTTTCATTCGGCAACAAAATATTTTTTTTTCGAAACTACAAGTTTGACGGTAGTGTTATGAAGGAATCATAGCGGCCCCTCATGCATGTTCAAGTGCCGACAGTTGGTGTTCTCCACTCGACCATGCACAAGTGGTTATTCCTACGACTGGAATAAAAGTGGAATTGATATGCAATGCATCGGCCATTAAGTCTATAATTAAATGACTCTGACAGGCGAGATGCTTTTTCTAAAAAATAGTGCAAATATTTATTCATGATATTTTGACAGAATAAATTATTTTAATAGTTTCTCATTGATCGCAATAATACATCTGCAGAAATGACGCATTTAAATAAAATAAAACCCTGTTTAGAAAATTTTGTCATCTTTTTTGTACCAATTTTTTGTTGCAAATTAATTGGGTTATTTAAAATGAAGGATTATTACATGTTAATAAATTATTTCTAGCTAATAAAGTCACTGTTCAGTTCAAAGGGAAATTATTATTATGAAAGATATTATTTCGACCGATATATTCATATTCTGCATATTCATGTTCTTTATGTCATTTGTACCTTGAAAACATCGGAGGTTTGACAGAGTAAAAGAGCCCGGGGATAATACAAAATAAAAATGATTATTTATTTATTGAACACTTTATTTGTCGTGCTATTATATAGGCTCAAAGAAATCAGAAACGAAATCGACATCTTTTTTTAAAGTGTACACGGAGCGAAAAATTAAATAAAAATTACCAGAGAAAAAAGTAAAAGTTAGGTTTCGAAACGTAATGCGCAAGCGAAGTAAAATTCAATGAAAAGTGTGAGTCGGAACTGAAATTGTTCGAATCGCCACGTAAATTCTATGATTTGTTCGTAAAAGTTCCCATCTGATGACTCACCGCTGTGGGGACAAGTCGTTCCGTAATTTTTCTCCAACGATTGAAAAATTTTACGGAATGGAACATAGAAATAACTCATCAGCTTCATACAAATTGTTGAACGTTCAAGAATTTTTCATTTTGGAGGCATAATAAGTCGGGAAGTTTCTGTAAGATTTCACTTCTTCGGGAAAAATTACGTGACAATTTCGTACTTTGTTCGGTGATGAACCTGAAAATTCACTGGACGTTTCAGATTTCTTCTCTTCCATTCCTATCAAAATTGCCGGAAAACAATTCCCCATTGCGGATTACGTGAATTGTTCCGTAATTTTTACTGAATATTTCTCTCCGCGTAGAGAAATGGTATGATTATTGAAAATATTTCCAATAGCGAAGCATTAAAATTTTGATGCTGAAACTCCAAGGGCTTCCTTAAGATACCAACTTTGTATTTGAATAAATAATTAACAGTAACATTGGGGATTAAAAATTCTTCGGGATTTTGTTAATTATACATCCAAATTGACGAATTTCGTCGTGTACAACGAACGACTGTCGTAAATTTTGAGTCCCCGCTGGAGTGCTGAAAAATAAATAATTTGAAAAATCACGGATACGTTGGAATAACAGCTTCATGACGAGCCATTTGAATAAACCTATTCATTTTTTTGAAAAACAATTCACCGAACTGAAATTACTCATCTCTTTGGATGTATGATTCACAATCTTCTTTCATTTTCTTCATGAGAAATAAAATAAGGATTGAAAAACATTTACAAAACTCTAATTCGGAATTTGGAGGATCGATTAAATTGACAGAAGGATGATGGTAGGATTCTCCGACCGCCCATGGCTCCAAACGTTCGCCCTCAATGAAAAGAAAATTCGATCTGGTAATGCCCAACGAGTTATACAATTGTCTGTACGCTCAGTGCTTGAAATACCCCAGGGGCGTTAGGGACCTCATATGGAGACAGGAATAAATCCAATTGGAGTCACGGTTTCATAGCTGTATTCAAAAATTCATTTTGAGGATGTTATTTACCACCTCGTATCGTCAAAACCACTGAAGTTATTTTCTGAAGAATTAATTCCAAAATTTCATATTAAATTTCAGTCAAAAAAGAGCCGACCCGATTTCTCGGGGAAGGCGTGTCCTTCAAGGCAAAACTGATTGGGATACTGGAGGTATCAGAGGCACGCGGTGACCAAATGTGTCAAGCGGCACTCGCTGATTTAAAGATGGCAATAAGAGCAGCCGGTGAACATAAACAACGTATTGCTGTGCAAGTCAGCATCGATGGTCTTCGGTTACGTGATGAGAAAACTGGAGTAATAATATAGCAAATAAATTATAATATGATGGATAAAAAAATGTCTAAAACAGGAGAATAATTCTAATACACTCTTAGAAATTTTTCGAAATTTTCTGGAAAATATAGTAGTATATGGAGAAGAGAGGAGTTTTTTGAGCAGTATGTTTTTACTTGAATCAAGAAATTTATGGCTCGAAAATTACCAAGCGCATAATATCTCACACTAAGAAACATAATTTTACGCCAAGAAATTTTATATTTGTCCGAAAGATGAGGGCAATTGGTTGATATCAAGACAACAAGATTTCAAATCAATTCAAGTGGTTTTTGCATTAACATATTTTAGAATTGAGGCTGAAAAAACACATTAAATATTAAATATTAAATATTAAATATTAAATATTAAATATTAAATATTAAATAATAAATATTAAATATTAAATATAAAATATTAAATATTTAATGAATTAAATGAATTAATTCAAATTTACTTGGTATGAGAAATCGCTTTCTTGTCATCAAGAAATTGTCCTCGTCTTTAAAATAAGTACAAAATTTCTTGGCCAAATTTTTTTTTATTCGTGCGAGATATTTTGCTCTTGGAAATTTTTAAGCCACGAGTTTCTTGGTATAATTAAAGACATACTTCTCAAAAAACGTTCTTTGTCTCAGTGTAGTTCTCATGAGAGTCATATTGAATCCGATTTAAGGGGACAAAGTCAATCGAATTTCAAATTTAAAAAATCAAGTAAAGTCCCAATTTTCACCTGCAGGAAGATGGAAATTCCACAATTTACACGCATATTCAATTGAAAATGAATATTCACTCTCAAATTCCCTGAAAATTCAGAGGAATCTAAAATTCAGAAAGAAATTTCTCTGAATTTTTCAGATTTTTTAATCATTTTCCTGGAATAATTAAACTGAAATTTACAGCTCCCACTGATTTTTGAATGAAATTATGGATTTTCAATGACAAAATTCCTCGAAATTTCAATGAAAATTTTTTAACAGGGCACTGTGGAGTTTGGCAGATGCATTACATTATTGTTACAGTAAAGATGCTAGGTGTCTATATTTTTATCAATTTTCATAATTACATTATGCTCAAAGTTGTGGCTAGGAAATATATATCTTCTTTTCATTGGATCATACAGCAAGAGCACAATCGAAAACGGGCATCTTATATATGCCCATGCAAGTCAGAAATTCGGAAATCATTGTTTATGAGTTGCAAAATAGAATGGGCATACAACTTCAATTGAAATTCATAACATTTTTAAAATATTAATTTAGGTGCAATTTAGTTGTAGAGTCTACATTTTGCGATGATTTTTAGTATCTTCAAAGAAAGTTCGAGTTTCAAATAATTCTGCAACCCATCATGTAAATCGACGAATGAAGGCGACGGTTCAATTCTTGAATGTAAATATCTCGTTTGTGCACACGAACAATGTGATCTCTCTCCTGGGCATTTTCAAAGCCTATGAGGCCTAGAGGGACATATGAAGAGAAATTGATCATCATAGAATTTTCTTTCTGTTCTCGATGTATTTTTTATCGCACACTGTTAGAAATTTTTTGAAATTTTACGGAATATATGATAGTAATTCTCATGAGAGTGACATTGAATCGGATTTAGGAGAAAAATGACATGAATTTTCAATTTTTATTGATTTTCAGATCATTTAAACCGAACATTAATAGGGGAGGGTGGGGCAAAATGGAAAGTTTTGTCATCTTCTCTAATTACCGATAACATTGTTTATAAATGAAAATACTGGAATTTGGAGAAGGTCACAAACCGTTCCATTTTGCCCCACCTTCCCCTAGAATATTTGATTTTTCAATGGCAATATTTCCTGAAATTTCAGTGGAAATTAAACACGATAAAAATTTCCAGAATTTGGCACGGAAAATTCAGAGGAAAATTTTTAACAGTGTACACTTCCCTTGTCCATGATCACGACTGCAATCATTAACAAAAAAAAATTTCAGGAATGTTTATATCACCACGCAGTTCACAAGATATCATTCATCGCTCAAGATCGTTACGACTCACGTGCATTTGGGTATATATTCGGCTCACCCGACACGGGCCATCGATTTTTCGGAATAAAGACGGACAAAGCAGCGAATCAAGTAAGTAACCATTATCTACTAAACTTGAAAGTCATTAACCACTGATATTTAATCACAGCGAGACGTATTCGAAGCCATACCATACAATTCCAGTGTGATCATTTAACTGAGGTTTAATCCCCCGCAGTGTCAGGCGGAAAATTGTATTTGCCCAATTCGTGGAACCCAATATCATCCCTTCGATGAATCCAGCTATTCTCCCTTCTCTCTTTTCCTCACAGACCAATCATTATCTGTAACAAGGGGAGCGTATATAAATAATTGTATTACATCGCCGGGCTGCAAGCGAATGGGAACTGTATTTTGTACCTTTATTAAAATCTAAATCATTTTATCAGACATATTACACGTTCAAATCAATGTAAGATATGTAATATTCATAATCAAGTCCTCCATCCATCAGGTCGTAATGGCGATGCGTGATCTCTTTCAAGTGGTTTTCGAGTTGAAGAAGAAGGAAATGGAGTTGGCAAAACTACATATCGAGCAGAATGTGGTGAAATATCATACTAGTGGAATATTTGTCGAGCCGGCACCAGATACGAAGGTAACTATCAGACTATTCCCAAAAAAAAAACTGTTACTAACGAGAAGAAAACGGTCTTTCATTGCAGGGAGCGGCAGGAGTGGAGGCTTGTGTGCATCGCATACGACCGTGTGCTGAAGCAGAGAGATCACTAGAAAAGAAATCGGAAAACCGCAGTGGTGTGATAGCAGATCTTCTGGACCTTCAGTTCGAATTGAATTCATTACAGCAGGGTATTCATCAGATGGACAAGCTAACCCCCGAAAATCCTAGACCCGCCTCGGAGGATCCATTTGAGGCCGATCCGTTCGGCGATTCATTCACAAACATGAAAGTTAAAAATTCAGTTCAACCGATCCTACCACCTCCTCCATCTTCGGCAAAACGCAGTCATCTTGAACGACAAGCGACCATACCAACACCCTCATCATCAACTTCCAGTCCTGCTACCGTAATGCCTAGTAAAACACCACCACCACAAACATCCTTACAGTGGTTAGAAAGCGAGACTGAGAAAAGATTTAGTGATGGAGAAATATCTAGTCTTACAGGCGGTATGAATGATAAAGAAGGTAAGGCAAATGATTCTGAAAATGGTTCAGGTTCATCATCAACGGCAGCTCGTAAGAGTCCTCAAATTGATGTATTTACGGAATTAGATCCATTGGGAACTGGCTTAAGTAAACCCTACATAGATAAAAAAGACTTCTTCCAACATCTGAAGAATCCACCCAAGAAAGTCCTAAAAGAACTAGCATCAACTTCATCAACCGACACATTCCCAACTAATTTTCATCTTTCAGACTCACTGGATCCACTCAAATCGCGAGATGCTAAACAAGGTGATCTGTTCGAAGACGGAGATTTTGCCAATTTCGACAAATTTGATGAACCTGAAACATACTCAACACCTAAAACACAATCACCACAGATGAGTAAAAAGTCACGTTTAATACATCATCAGCCTTTATCTGTATGCTTACCACCAGAAGATATTGCAATTTCCAAAATTCGAGACAGCTCTGTTAGATTCGAAAGAGAAGTTTCTGAACCAATAGCATCATTAATACGTTTACCGAGTCCTAAGAAGTATCAGTCGTCAATTCGTAAGAAAGATTATGACACAGATTTACCTTCAGCCTGTCGTGCTCAGTCAATTGACAAAACCTTCCCAGTTGATTTCGCCCATTCAACAGAATCTCCAGCTTCACCACTTCGTTCTTGTTCTTCAGACGCCAATTCTCGGATCTCGATTTCTAGCGCCGAGCTTGATATAGTTCCAGAGCCTCCGCCTAGAGGTGCTGGTAGCATTCTGATAAATCCCCCTCCACTTCCGCCGAAGAAGCAAGGCGTCAGAGCGACGGGCAAACCCCCGCCTAGACCACCTCACAACGATAGCCACTTTCACTATGACTTCATCGAACGAGAAGAGTCACCATCAACATCACCTGTACGAAGCCATCGTCCAACAAGAAGTCCGGATATGGAAACGCTTAAAGGTCGATTCGACGATAACTTCAGTCCTCCATCATCGAAGATTCAATCGATAAATGCTAGTGCTGCATCATTCGAAGATTCCTTCAGCTCTATGATCCCGACCACTCTATCATCCCTCTTCAAGAAGTCATATTCATCATCTACTGAATCTAGAAAGAAGCCTTCGTTAGATATAACGCTTAGCCAGTTAACGTCTTCAAATCTTGCTGAGTTAGCAACAAGTTTGGACATGAGCGTTGGGGAACTTACGAGTTTGACACTTCAACAATTAACTGAATGTCTGTCTAAACTCTCCGCGAAAGAACAGCAAGCCACACCAACTCAACCGGTCAAAGAATTTAGGGAAGTTGAACAGAAACCCGAGATTTCAAGAACTTCGAAAACTTCGATTACCGCGAATGAACCGCTATTCACAGCTAACTTTGATCAAGATATAAAACAACCAGAAGATCCTAAATACGATAAGTATGCAGTTTTCAGAGAATTGTTAGAATTAGAACAGATTAGAACTGATTCTATCCAACAAGAGACTATAGACGAAGGGATTAATGATTTCGATCGCAAAGAGTCGACAGCGCAGGAAGAAATGGTGCATGACGTAGAATGTAAAATTGAACTGAATATCAAAATAGATGTCGATGAAGTCATACCAGATGACATCAAGAAATCCGAATCAAACGAAGTGATGAGAGAGTCGCCGACCGATGAAAAAGCGGATAGTGTGAAGACTCCAGAAGAGTTGGACACCAAGAATGACTCGATAGAAATAGAAGAAATGAAAGATCCTGATGAATCTGATGAAAAATACCAATCATTAGAGAATTCAGAGTGTGAGAAGGTCCAGCCAGAAATCAATCAAAGCACACCGGAAGCGAAGGACGAGAAGATTGAAGAGACACTCAGGAAAATGGACAAGAAATCGTCGCCAACAACACCCAATGACCGCTACGCAGCACTGAGAGAAATCATAGCTGTTATACAACCAATCAACGTAACGGATGAGAAACCAAAGAGTCCATCGCCCGTAAATACGTCCAAAAGTTTAGCTGAACATGACTTGATGAAGCTTTTCTCAGCGCCTCCATCTCAACCTGCAAGTCCTAAAAAGATCAACAAGGAGGAAGTTGATTTGAAAGCAGCTGCTTCCGATATTTTCCAGGAAATTCGAATGTTGAACAGTAGTGTAAATAAATCAAATAAACCTTCAACACCCGCATCCGGTTTCGAGGATGTATTCTGTCCATTTGTAGAGCACGAGAAGAATCGTGAGGAATCGAAGGACGACGGAAATTGGGCAAAATTTGAAAGTGGAGTTTTCCATTCGGACAAGTCATCATTTGAGGCACATGGATCATTGGGTGGTACATCACCATGGTCGCCTGACGAAAAGGAAATTCAAAAAGAGTTGGGCTTCAAAACAAGCGTGCAACGACATTCCGGTGATAGTGATAATGAATGGAAGGATGAGGAAGAGTCTGAAGAGAGTAACGGAAGGGTTCGGGACGACGGACTATGGAGACATCCACCGACGAGGTTCGACTCGAGCTGTGAGGAAAGTACTTACTATGATGCTAGCGATAAGGATCATCACTTTCGAGACAGATCACTTCGAAAGACTCGAGGGGTACCGTGGACCAAGACACCACACAGACCTAGGCTTGATCCATCTCCGTGGCATGAGGAAAGTCGTTGGGAGGACGAACATAGAAGATATCCACTTAAAAAGATTCCTTACAAAGATGAGGAGGAGCGGAAAGCTCATTGGAAATGTAGGACTGGCCAGAGACCGCCGTGGAACGGCGAGCGAGATCCTAATTTCAGGGGTCATGATCATCAGTTCTACGAGGAAGATCGAGGCAAGCGAAGAATGATGCTGTGGAACGAGGATGATCGGGATAGAGATCGCGATCGTGATCGTTTCAGTAGTCAAGAAAGTATGGGCTACGATGATGAGGAAAGATGGTCAATTCGAGAATACGAGAGGAGAAGGTGGGAGGAGGAAGGGCGGTTCTGGAGGGGCCGAACGGGTGGTGACGCTGACTATCCGATATACAGAAAACACAATATACATTACTGCAGAGACTCCAGAGACAGACCGATAGATTATAATCCACCTGGATGGGAGGAGGACTATGGTCCTGATCGTTCCGATAATTCTCCAAGGTATGTAACCAGGAAGAGACATTGGCCCAAGCGTCCAAACAGTGCTAATGAAGATCGTAATGCAGAGGTTGTTTATGCTGAACATAGAATGAAATACGGAATGTCGCGGTCTGAGTGTAGTGACAATGATTCTGACCTCTATCATCGGCCGTATAGGTCGCGAAGTCGCGAAAGCTATTGGGAGAGCGATCAGGAATTCGAGAGTTGGGGGGAACGTCCTTATTGGTCGGAAGGACCCGATATGAAGAGTGAATCGTTGCACCGCAGGAGAATGAATCGACACAAACAGGCGTCGAGACCTAAACCCCAAAGTTCACCTTTCGAGGATGATTTCACCCAGGGCATCGATCATGGACAGGTGGATACACCAATTGTTTCGGAGAATCGAGTACGATCGGATACAGAAAATAAACAGCCTGTAAGTCCTCGCAATACTCAAGAGCACATTAGGAAGGATGTGAGGAAACATGTAAGGTCTAGCTTCTTTGATGATGACTTGACGCCGTCGGCATCTAGTGATACTTCGGATAGGCAACGACTTGGTTCGGACCTCAAGGCAACACCCGAAGATCTTTCCGTTGATCCTAGAGATCCAACATCAGCAGACAGTTTTGTGTCCGAAGACAGTGGTAGAGATTCCTTTTTCAATGGTGATCCTCGATTCGATGATGATGCTTTTGCATTTAGATCAGAAATGGCTGATAGTGTACCGAACAAGTCCGCCTTGCCATTGAAGAACTCGAGACAAATCAAGTACGGCAATAATAGAATCAAGGGTGATTACGATATCAAAAAGTCTGAATCGGTTAACATATTTGTTAGGGAGAGCGATCCATTTGACGATGATGATTTTTTCAATTAGCAAAAACAACTGAATCGAATGATTCCGCGATCATTAGATTATCAATAAATGGAGTAATATCATTTTTCTTCATACACATGAGTATCGCTTGTGTGGGGGATCAATGATTTTGTCAGTTTTCTAGTCACAAAGAGTATTTAATTTTATTTAATTGCTTGATGATTTTTCGCGTTTATTTGATATCAAAAAATTGATGGATATTAGAAAATTGAAAAAAAAATAGATAAAATTGGTGCGGTAATTTGATTGTTATGTTTGGATAATGAGTTGATAAAATATGAGAATGGTGATATGAAGACTGCAGAAATACTAAAGTATGTTTCAGACAACTCACAGAATGATAAAATAGAGAAAAAACCTCGTCGCATCATCAGAACAACAAAATTTTGTAATCCTTTGTTAACAATAAAATACAATGGCACAAAAGGGAGAAAATGACTTACGAAACTGGAAAAAATTGCATCAATGTATCTGACACAATTCCATCAGCTAATAAAATGGAATCATTGTCAATCATAAATTTTCATTATTTTCTCCCCAATCCCATTTTACAATATGACTGATTGTTTAATTGATTCCGGAGAGAACGAACAATGAAGGATGCTGAAGGGCAGGCTGTATATGTGGTACACCCACTTTATCCTGTATCAAAGCCCTCGGTGTGCTATCCTCGATTTGACCTGCGCACAATGGACAATAAAAGAGCATTAGATTCGTCGGCTTTGTTGAACTACTGGGACGACTTTCTGCTACAATACTGTAGTCATCCCCCTCTATTCTACCTCGACGCTAAACGCAAGTGCTCGAAACACCTGGTAAACAAGGCAACAATGCAAAACCGCCCTCATACTTTCGACGGGATTACTCACATTTGGGACGCGCTCGCCTTCATACTAACAAATTATCACCTTTTTCGCATTTTTTACTTCTCTTAGCTATTGTCATTATTATCGCAGTAAGCAAAAATTTACCTAGTAATTAATCCTCGATATTTCGAGAAGAAAAGTTTGATCAAGCGTCATATTACAAATTCGTTGATAAAAAATCCACCTTCAGCAGGATTTTCAGGATTTTCATATGAATTTCTCATTGAAGCTACATTTTCTCTATACTTGAAACGTCTGCATCCACCCTAATACTTTTTTTTCTCCACAAATGCTAGTCCACGACTCGCAGAGGGAAAAAAATTACACTCTGCCCCTTTTCACGCCCAAAATACAGCAACCGTAGGAAGAAAACGACCTGTACAAGGTCCAACCAATCCAAATTATGAACATTTCTTGAAAGGCTTTTATTGTCACCCCATGCAGAAGTGCTGGGCTCACTTCATAATCTCTTTCTAAATCTTTTTTTACCTATTTTTATAGAGAACAGGTCGTGGCACTTGTCGTTTATTCACTCAGAGCTTGTGGATTTTTATTCTAACCCTCTTTTAAATCCTCGCCCCCTATGGAGTCGTAGCCGCTCTATGAGGGAGTCTAAAAAAAGTACTTCTGGTACTGTACAAGTGGATATACAAGTGCATGCGGGTTAGTTTGCCACGTTATACCCCCCACCACACAGTTAAAACGTTCATTCTCTTTTCTTTCAACTTGTGAGAGAACAATCGACGAAAATACACAGCCTCGACAAATGTCCACATGTCAGGAAACACTCAATTTTTTTATTACAACATTTTTTCGAATTTTTCGTTTGTTTAAAAATTATTTCTGAAATAGTTAATGATACGATTAACTCGAAATGGATGGAACAATGAATTACCCGTCACCCGAGATGCATTTAATATTCGCAAAGCCAGTGATGCAGAAAATAGTGAACCAAGTATGTTTACTAAATTTCGCAGAGACAAGCAAAACTTGGGAGTCTATCGCGTTAGCGGTTAGTAACTATAAACCGACATCAACACAACGACAATGGCACTTCGTCCATTGAAGCCACTAGACAGAGAATACTTGAACGCGTATCGCTGAAGCGTGTGGACCCCAAGATTTGCATCCAATTGGAATTTCAAATGGATACCCCTTGAGCCCGACTATCATCCAGAATTATTCACTTTTATCCTGGAAAATGTAATTATTAATCGTACAATACTGAAAATTTGAATATTCCGTAGACTATTTCATTTCTTTCAAGTATAAAAAATTGTTTCAGCGGGAAATTTCTAAACTGAAAGGCATACAGGGAAGAATACTATATATTTTGATACGAGTCGACGGAATTTTCACGAGTGTGAAGTTTCACGAGCTGAAAATTCCCGTCCTACATGTGTCGAACAATATTTTTTGACAGTGATGTGACGTTCAGCGAGTATGGCCAAACTGGGCCTTTTTCGTTTACAAGTATCGATGTATTTTTCTGAGTTAACTTTAACTTTTAACGTTATTTATTGCAAGAAACATACATTCTTACAAATGGCCATTGTCCGAAGGCCTTCAGCCTTTTTCTGAGTTATTAACAGGAAATTATTTAAAAAAGTCGCTGTCATAAACTCGAATTTGTATGAGTATTATGAGGTGTGTTTTCGTCCCAGTGTGTGAGCTAGATTGCACAATATAAATTCCACCGCTATGAGCCATCCTTCTTTATAGGTAGGTGCTCCAACAGATTTACGGGGATGGTTCCTACTATTCCGCCTCACTTTCTTGAGGCATGGATGATCTCACCAGCTCTTAGCGTAACCAAGTATTCACGACGAGGACGTTGTTGGTGTAGAATCCGAAAAAAAAAATTTTAAAGAAAAAATAATAAATGGCTTGAAATTTTATTAAATTAAATTTTCAAAAAAAATTTCAAAATTAAATTCTAAAAATTATCAATTGCGACTCTACACATTGGTGATAAATCGTTCTCTATAAATTTAAAAGAAACAAAATGCTTCTAAAGTTTAAAAGAGTTCGATATTGGTAAGAAGGTACACCCATAGTATTTTATTAGATGTACAAATTAATAAGGTGCCCCTATATTTCGCGGTTTATAATTGCGGTCAAAAACTTAATATTTCAATATTTTGTATATTGGTAGTATTCAGTTACCGAAGCAGTAAATACTTCTTACATAACCTTAAAAAATAGCAGTAAACACGATGTCTGTCGATAAGCAACATTTGAGGCACTGCATTCTTTTTGCATTTCAATTAAAGAAAAATGCTGCCGAGGCTACTCAAATGATTTGTAGTGCTCTTGGAAAAAACGCTGTAACACATAAAACATGTAAAAAGTGGTACCAGAGGTTTAGAGACGGAGATTTCGATCTTTCGCATCGAGAACCGCCGGGTCAACCGCATAAATTCGCCGATGAAGAACTCGAACAACTCTTGGCTAAAAATTCTGCTCAAAGCCAAACAGAGCTTGCACTACAACTCGGAGTGACTCAACAATTTCTCATCGCCTACATCAACTTGGCAAAATTCAAAAGGAGGGTAAATGGGTTCCTCACGATCAGAGCGCCGAAAATAAGGAGCGACGACTGGAGATGACGCTATCTCTGTTCACTCGATTTAAAAGAAAACATTTCTTATACAAAATCATTACGGGCGATGAAAAGTGGGTGTTATACGACAACCCTAAACGCAAAAAATCGTGGGTGAATCCCGGCGAACCATTGACGTCGACTCCGAAACCCAATGTCTATGCGAGAAAAGTGCTGTTGAGTATCTGGTGGGATATGAAGGGTGTGATATATTATGAGCTACTTAAACCTGGCCAAACTGTTACTGCGAAGGTTTATCAACAACAGCTTATTCATTTGAATGATGCATTGGAGCAAAAGAGGCCATGTACTGGCAGCGGAAGTAGATAAATGATTCTCCAACATGCCAACGCTCGACCGCATGTCCCCAAAGCGACTAAGGATATTATCTGTGAATTAGGATGGGAGGTTCTCCCTCACGCGGCTTACTCGCCTGATCTCGCCCCAGCCGACTGCCACCTATTTCGGTCTCTTCAAAACCACCTAGCTGATGAGCACTTCAAAACAATCGACGAGGTCCGAAAAGCATCGATGAATTTATTGAGTCAAAACCGCCAAGTTTCTTTCACGAAGGAATTCGTCAGTTGCCAGTGAGGTGGAGTAAAGTCTTCGACAATAATGGGGAATATTTCGACCGTTAAATATTTTTTTGTTTTTTGTTTTTTTTCAAATTTAAGTTTTCGATTTTTTGTGTTATATCGACCCATTATGATCCAAAAAGTCCGAAAATGCATTTTTTAGACCGTGTCCGTCGGTATGTGTGTATGTATGTATGTATGTGACAAACTTTTTCGTCAATTCCTCGCTAATGAATGGATGGAATTGAATCATTTTTTTTATCAAATGAAGGTACTGCTAAGCCCTATTCGTCGCCATCAATTAAAAATTAATTCAATGATTCATTTTTTTTATTTTCGACTTTTTTCAAAATTCAGTTGTAACACGATAACTAAAAACAAAAGTTTTAAATCCATTGAATGATGGCTCAAAAAATTCGTTGAGATATCCTTTTGACCGAGTTCGAAGATGAAAGTGATAGCAATAATCGTTATTTTNTTCTCATCGCCTACATCAACTTGGCAAAATTCAAAAGGAGGGTAAATGGGTTCCTCACGATCAGAGCGCCGAAAATAAGGAGCGACGACTGGAGATGACGCTATCTCTGTTCACTCGATTTAAAAGAAAACATTTCTTATACAAAATCATTACGGGCGATGAAAAGTGGGTGTTATACGACAACCCTAAACGCAAAAAATCGTGGGTGAATCCCGGCGAACCATTGACGTCGACTCCGAAACCCAATGTCTATGCGAGAAAAGTGCTGTTGAGTATCTGGTGGGATATGAAGGGTGTGATATATTATGAGCTACTTAAACCTGGCCAAACTGTTACTGCGAAGGTTTATCAACAACAGCTTATTCATTTGAATGATGCATTGGAGCAAAAGAGGCCATGTACTGGCAGCGGAAGTAGATAAATGATTCTCCAACATGCCAACGCTCGACCGCATGTCCCCAAAGCGACTAAGGATATTATCTGTGAATTAGGATGGGAGGTTCTCCCTCACGCGGCTTACTCGCCTGATCTCGCCCCAGCCGACTGCCACCTATTTCGGTCTCTTCAAAACCACCTAGCTGATGAGCACTTCAAAACAATCGACGAGGTCCGAAAAGCATCGATGAATTTATTGAGTCAAAACCGCCAAGTTTCTTTCACGAAGGAATTCGTCAGTTGCCAGTGAGGTGGAGTAAAGTCTTCGACAATAATGGGGAATATTTCGACCGTTAAATATTTTTTTGTTTTTTGTTTTTTTTCAAATTTAAGTTTTCGATTTTTTGTGTTATATCGACCCATTATGATCCAAAAAGTCCGAAAATGCATTTTTTAGACCGTGTCCGTCGGTATGTGTGTATGTATGTATGTATGTGACAAACTTTTTCGTCAATTCCTCGCTAATGAATGGATGGAATTGAATCATTTTTTTTATCAAATGAAGGTACTGCTAAGCCCTATTCGTCGCCATCAATTAAAAATTAATTCAATGATTCATTT